GAGTGAAAAATTTAAAGGGGTCTGAATACTTTCCGTACCCACTGTATGTCATTACCAAAGAAGTATACATAGAATAGACCACACATACCATATAGGGAATTACTCACTCATTTATTCATACATGTGCAATATCAATATCAATGTACATATGTGCAATACAAACAATATTATTAATAGTATTATATTGTAGTTTTAGCTTTTATTGTTTGTTTTTGCAATCTACATATTTATTATACCTTTACTGTTTGACTATTTATTGTACTTGTTCTGTTTTTATTTTCTTGTTTTGTTTTTACTGATCTTGTTGCACTATCCACTTTGCTTCTGTAATCCTGCAAACTTCCCCACTGTGGGACTAATAAAGGATTATCTTATTTTATAATGTTTGCATATTCAAGGAATCAATATTCCATAGATATTAGATAGTGTGAAGACTTGCCTGTTTTAATGTTGCCATTGTCTGGAAACAGGATTAAGCTTTCTCCATGTTGCCTCAGGTATTTACCTACAGGGTCGAACAGAGGACGGACTGGGGATGATGTTTGGCATCAACCACATTGGTCACTTCCTATTAACCAACCTGTTACTGGACCGGCTGAAGGAGTGTGAACCTAGCAGAGTGGTCATCCTGTCGTCTATGGCACATAACTTTGGAAAAATAGATTTTGACTGCCTGAACACCCACAAAGCTCTGGGACTGGGGACCTCATCAATGGAGGTTTTGCAGGTCTACTCCGATAGCAAGCTGTGCAACGTCCTCTTCATCCATGAGCTGGCCAAGAGACTGCAGGAAACCAAGGTCACCTGCTACAGCCTCCATCCGGGTTAGTAGACAGAATGTATCACCATTCAACTCATGCAAAGAAATGGGAAATAAGCTCTTTCAACAAGGAATTTTAGTACACTGGTTCCACACTGGTTAGCAGTTATTACATAGAGGTGTGCATTTTGGTCTAGTCTAGCATAGCCAGTATGTGATTTGTTAAGTTTTAGCAGGGGGGATGGAGGACTCACAAGCATCTGGTGGGCACAGCCGGACCGGATGGAGGTTACTGATATTTCAGAGCCATGGTCAGGGCCATATATTCTAACTTGCACTCCTCAGCCAGATAAAGGATCAATGAGTCACACCGACCAGACTAACATATCCAACTAAACAACCCCTCTGCCCCTGCACTCTCTCTGATACTAGCGGATGTAGAACGGGGATGGCAGGTTAACAAGACAGATGCATTTTGGTCATTTTGCTATCAAAGAGTATGGCATCCCCCCAAAAATTGCCTACTGATCATGGCGATGAAGGGGAAAATATTTGTGGATTTGGGGTTTGTCTAAACATTGTATATAATATATACTATAACCCGTAATTTTTTACTGTAGCAGCTAAAGATTAGGCAACTAAACTACAATATTTTGTTTTTACAGGAGCAATCAACTCTGAGCTGGCAAGGAACGCAGGCTCCGTATTCAAAATGCTCCTGAAGCCTGTGACTGCGTTTTTCTTTAAAAACACTGTTCAGGGAGCCCAGACCACCCTGCACTGTGCTCTCCAGGAGGGGATCGAACCTCTCAACGGACGTTACTTCTCTAACTGCACTGTGAAAGAAGTCTATGCTAAAGCCAAGGATGACGCTGCAGCAAAGAAGCTGTGGGAGCTCAGTGAGAGACTGTCTGGTCTTGCATAAAAAGCCTTCCACGAAATTTCTGATATTGGGTTGTTTTTGTTCTGTTAAATATAAATTATGGGAAGATATCCTCACACACACATAACATGAAAAAGTGGGCTTGCAGCCAATATTAGGCAAGAAATGTAAGGTAAAGTTTTGCCACTCTGACTATCTGGGAGTTGCCGTCACGCAATCCATAAAAATCCATGTCTGTGATTGGTTGCATAATGTATGCACAAGGTGTGTAATCAAAGATAAGGCAATAAGTGATTATGTAACAGCTTGTTAAAATGTAATAAATCCCCAGATTTTAATTAGATTTATTAGAGTTATTGATGGCCAATATAAATAAAAACATTACAACTTTTTTTTTTTTTTACAGTGCCTTAAAAAGCATTTTATTCTTTTAAGCGAGGGGTTTCTACATGAACATTCTAACTTATTCTATAACCACACCGGTTATTTGACATGAAAGGTTTCTGGTTTCACTGGTTTAGAGTTTGCTGAGGTGTGTTAGAGAAGGTGATGACAGGTATTACATGTGAGACAAATTATTTTTGGGCAATGAATTCATGTTCAGATCATATCAAAGGTTTATTTTCTGTGCCGTCATTTTGGATTTGAGTGGGTACGTTTGCTCAAAAGATTTGTGCTTTGTCTCTTTAGTGGCACTTCACATTGATGCTTTTAATTGTCACAGTCTCTGAACATATGAGACATACTGGTTTTAAACTGCCCGTGTCATGTTTTTTTGTTTCTTCCATTTTATTTTGACTTTCCCTGCCTCTTGTGTCCTGTGTTAACTTCACTGCCTGTCCTTGTCTGTTTCCCACTACTGTGATTGTCTGCCCTGCCATTGATTGAACCCTGCTGTGTCTCATCACCTGCACCCTCCCAGTGTACTGAACAAACAATAACTCCGTGCATGAAGGTATGCTTCGTAATTAACGGACAATGCATACAGTCCAAATCTATATAATTAACACAATGACAACAAATGCAACAAATGCATTCCGGAAATGCATGTAAAGTGAGACACAAGGTGATCCATTAAAACCAGCTGAGCAAACTAAGAAGCCTCTATTGCATTAATGTACAGCTCCCTTCCTCAGAGATCCATTGATGAAGGAGCGATATTAGTTAGATTAGCGTTTTATAGGGAGAGAGTTCTTCCACATCGCCAAGATCCGTTATCACATCATGATGACTTCCTATACGAGCGCTATCCATTCTGCCCACAAGGAATCATTTATTTACAGACCTTCTGGAGCATACATTGAACACCACACGCTGCAGCCGAGCACTGATGTCTCACACACTGGATGCAGCCTTGCGCTGTTCTGCGAGTGGTAAATTTTTGTACAGTGTCGGCGATGCGGAGAACATCGGGAAAGCCGCTGCATGCTGTGCTGTTCGTAAAGTTTATTTGGCGCTTAATAAACGTATGGATGTGTTCATTACATTACCATGGCACATATTGTACTGACTCACCATTCTGAATAATGTGTGTGTGCTCCATGGCTGCGTTGCATACATGGGGGTTGAAAGCACTCATAATTATATGACAGGGTTATTAGTACACCAGCATATCATTATTGAAGAAATGATTAAGGTGGACTCATGATAAGAATAGAAAGAATCACACACAATTTATTTTCACTACTTCAATTGATTGAATTTCTGATTATGAATAATACATACTGATCTGCCCATACACAGATTCGCACACATATTCAAACTAGTTCTATATGGTAATCTACACAGACATGTATATACACATATATAGTACATGATACATAAGCGCATACAGTACATATATCCTCATAAGTATCTATTAATTCGTATCAATCAGATAGTCTTTTGGCTTGTTTTTAACCTACTTATTCTGAAAGAGTTGAGATAATTATTTTCGCTAGCAAGATCTCATTCGATGATGCATTCCATTAAGCCTACTGCCAGCAGGCACTAGAACATAAATATAATCTGATTTATTGGGGTGATGAGGCACTTAAAATGAGCCTGTACATTTCCCCAACACTTACGCATTTAACTTGTCTGAGATATTTTGCCGTGCCTCTTGTCTAGCTCTCGCAGCGGTGGTGTTAAATTTTGCCATGATTATGGTCTTGAATTCCTCATACGCGTTCATGATAATCTCCTGCTCATCAGTGGAGTAAAAATAGGCTCTTTCTTTGAGTTTATTTGCCATTGTACTGTTAGAAAATCATGGTTTCGGTAATCGATGCTTCCCCCTTTTGAAGTAGGACGGGCACGCGCAATTATCCTGATTACTGAAGTCTGGTTCGAATTAAGGAGATTGTTTGAGCGCGGATCAGACTTTGAGAAACCGAGATAGCCTGACTTCAATCATCGGGTTAATTTAAGATGGCTAATAGGACATTTGATCGACTTAGTTGAACCACGTACGAGGAACGGGGCCCTGGTTAATTTAACATGGACAACTGATTACAGGCGTTGCTGACCTTGTTGTCTGTACTAGCAGCTGTTGTCCAGTTAAAGTCTGCATTTCTGTGGAGGAAGCAGCTGTTATTGGAGTGATTAGTGAGCGGCGTGACCAGCGGCGTTATCAGCCCTACGGAGCTAAGCCACCAGCAGAGCTACGAGTGAGAACAGACAACAAGGAAACGAGTGAGAGACGTGTGTTGACCACATTTATGGACCCATAATATAGTAAACGTTTACGTGTTGATTTTAAACTGAATTTGATATGAGAGAGAGAGAGAGCGAGAGAGAGAGAGAGAGAGACCCGCAGTGCTGTAACTAAGTCTGAAAAATAAAACTTCTAAAACTTTCCACGAACTGTGTCTGTTTGAGTTTATAGAGGAAGATCTTAAGTATCAAACGCGACCTTTCATTATTAATGTCGTATTTTTTTGAACTAAGCAACCAATCTACTTCCTGTTTACACCGTCACACGCATGACCAGTGACCAGTGTTAATGGTGACGTGATGTACGTTAATGGTCATGTGATATCTGTTTTCGAAGGTTGCTGCATGGATTCAGATCAATTAGATAACGATGCTGAAACGCCCGTGTGGACGGAGATCGTTTGTATTTGAAAACTCCATTTCTAAATGCAAACAGAGTAGTGTGGAGGTACTCTCAGTCACATATGTAGGAGCCTGACCGTGTAGTGCTCTGTAAGTGAGAGTGAGAATTTTGAAGTGTGTTAGTGCCCAGCACTTACTGCAGCTTTTTAATCCTGCCTTTCCAAAACAGTTTAGATTGCTGACTGCTGGAAAACATAAACTTCTGCTGCAGCTGTCTGATATCAAGTGCTCTGGGTTTTGGCAGTTAGTCATTTCTTGCAAACATCTCCCAAGTAAAATGACAAAATAAGTTGTGATGTTTCATGTTATATTCCATCAACATGGACAGCAGGTCAAACGTCTGTATCTCTGATGGGATAACAGTGTGCGTGTGAACCTTTACCTCCAAGCACACACAGTGCTTGTAAACTGTTGTCCATGAATTTCATTGTAATTTAAAACAAAAAGATTTTTTATGATTCGGAATGTTTTGGCAACATTCACAAATTATTCTGTGTTACTTCCACGATTTAACCCTCATCCTCCCAACATATTTCACATATGGAGGTACCTAGTGAATAGTGCAATTGGGTTGCTTTTGAGATATGACAACAGGTATACCTTTTGGGTTCTGCAGGGACCCAAGTTGATAGGATGGGGTGGGAGAACAATATGAAGCGATGAAGGCTGCTGTTGTAGCACCGGCAATAACGTCAAACTACTTTGACCCCTGGCTATAACCACACACGTAACAAAGGCATGACATACACAAAGCAAGCTTGAATGTTTATGAATTAATGGATATCACTGTAATGTAAGTAAAAAAGAGCTCCAGCATGGTTCCATAGATCTTTTAGTCCATCAACAGGGACTGAAATCTGTCTGCCATGTTGAATTCTCTGCGGAGGATGGGTTTGGACATAACACATTTGAACTCATGACATCATGACTAGTGATATTGTACAAGGTGGTTTTGCAGTGAAATTTAGATATTCTCAATATGGGACGTTCCCTTGTGTCATGCTGGTCACAATGTCGTTGCCTTCCTGACTGCAGTGCTACTTACTTCTCTTTTGCAGGGAATGCTGCTCTCCAGGACATCAGATAGGACTTAGTGAATCTAAAAATGCCGGACAGCATTGTGGTGGAAATTAATGTATTTCTTTGTGAGAAATCAAAAGTATCTTAAGCTCTCTGTCTTTAAGTATTTATTACAGGATAAGATATAGAAAAATTATGAAGAGTGTACAAGTCATCAAACATGAGCCAACGAGTACAAACATGAGCCAATCGAGTGCAAACAGAGTCACAGGATACTATTCAGCTAGATAGGGTCAGAGTTCCTTCACCCGGGAAGATCAAGGGAGTCTGACCTCAAATTCGGTGTTGAGGGGAGCTTTTATACATGTCCCAGAGGCGCATCTTGCCCCGTCCAGCTGGAGATAGCGTGTACATTCACATCAATGTGTAGTTAGCCAGTACATATGGACTATGGACATTTACCTAAGATATAAAAAACATGTGTTACAGAAATGCAAAAACTGCTGACACAGAAAGATAGGTTGAAACTAAAGAGAAGTGACAGGTTCAAACTAAAATAATTTTTTCTCCGACAAGCATGACCTCGCAGCAACCATGGAGGAGTAGTGGTTGTTTTTAGAGTTTCTGGGTATAGCAAGAATATGATGGGATGTGACTTGATGGGAACTGTACAGTCTATAGACAGTGGGAGGTGACAGGGGTCATTAGGGGCTACTATATAGTGAAAATGATTTGGGCACTGAGCAGGTTACTGGTTCAACAACATTGGATCTTTAATAAGACATTGACCCTTGACATAATTCCATGGCAGCACATGGCGATGATGTAACAACATATCTCTCTGGAGCTAAGTTGACAGTAGACTAAAAATGGGAAAAAAACAACAAAGAATTAACTGTACTGACATTATGACATGCTGACATTTATTTCTGCTTCTGAAAGGAGTCTTTTTAAAGAGAGTTTATGCAATGACAAAAAACTTGCTGCAGCTAATAGTTGGCGGTTTGGTACACTTATTTTCAAGTTTTTTACAAAAGTCATCCAACCACACTGAAATACCAAACAGCAAAATAGAAAATGGGCTAAATGTTGTCAGTAACAAAGTTAGGCATCACAGCCATCATGTATGAATGGAATGAGGCAGACAACCCGGTTTCACTGTTAATCTCAAGTTAAGTCTGCACTGCTGGTCACCCGTCTGGTCTTTAAATATGCCCCAACTTACATTGTAGGTGCTGTGGTTGACGTATATTTCATGAGTCTGCATACAGAGCTGGCACACTGGTATGGTCAGAACAACCTGGAGCTAAACACTCTTAAAACTGTGGAGATGACAGTGGACTTCAGGAGGAGCCCCCCCATCACCAGCCTGAACACTGTTTCTGCTGGAAGCCGTCCAGTTTCTGGGATCCACCATATGATCTCAAGTTCAATTCAATTCAATTCAATTTATTTTTGTATAGCCCAAAATCACAAATTACAAATTTGCCTCAGAGGGCTTTACAATATATACACATTTGACATCCTCTTGTCCCAGTACCCTCACATCGGAACAGGAAAAACTCCCCCAAAAAACTCCTTTAACGGGGAGAAAAGAGGAAGAAACCTTAGGGAGAGCAACAGAGGAGGGATCCCTCTCCCAGGATGGACAGAAGTGCAATAGATGTCATGTGTAGAACAGGATAAGTGAATTACTACACATTCATTGTAATTACAGCACATTCAATGTATGACAGAACCACGGCAGGAGGCAAGACCTGGTCCAGGTATAACCCGGATACACAGGAACCTGTGAGGCGAGAAAGCACAGAGACTCTGGTGAAGAAGCAGGTCAATAATGTGCATTAATGGTATT